CAGCAGCAAGATGTTGCTCCGTTGGCGTGCTTAAACTAATTTTACCTGTTGAACTAAAGGAAGTCGCCGAAAGGGTGACAGTCCTTGGCTGGACAAAATCCGGGTCACCTCCAGTCGGTAGAACCGACTGTTTTGAGAGTTTCAGCGTTCGCGGTCATTTAGAACCTTGGCCTGCCTGTGCGTGTTGCGTTTTTTAAAGATGAAACCCTCTTAAATCGTTTCACAATGCTCCTTCTGTCCTTCATTTCAACTGTTTTTTACATATGAATACAAATGAATTGGAGTGAAAATATTGAAAATGTGTCCCCCTGTCCAGTATTTTTTTTCGGAATTAAAAATATTTTCATATGTGGTCGGTAAGGTGTTAAATTTAAGCTATCTTGCTGTTCCAATACTTAAGTTCATCACTGTTCATTATTTTAAAGAAATCCGATTGAGTTTTTCATTTCAGATGCTTCCCTTCAGAAATACAATGGTCACCGAAAAACGTTTTTGTTTTAAGAAGGGTCCCTGTAGTTCTGCAGTAGCAGCTTTAAAAATTGTTATTTTTATAAATAAAAAATTCCTTACTACTCTTCAAAGCTGCCATGATATGCGTATATATGCTCAAAGTTATAAAGCTAAAAGGTTCTTCGTCGAAATTATTTGAAAAACCTAATTTTTGAGGGCTCCTAACTAGATGACTGAGCCTGGAATCTCCAATTGGCGCCCAACAGCGAAAAAAAAGAAATTTATGGAGCAATGTTATAAGTTTGGCTATAATTGCGTTAGTGGTGTGCAAGTGAGCAGTAAACCGTTAGGATATCCGTTGTTATTGGAAAGAGGCATTTGCGTATCCTCGCAAGATGTTGATTCTAGTCGAGAAGACAGCCAGGTAGCTTGGTAAATTTTCTTGCGCTGGAATTTATTACTACATAAAACAATTTTTTGGACCTCGGTAAAGTCGATCAGACTCATCCACTATGGGGATGTTTCGTCGTCTCCACATTCTTGCTCACCCTAAACGTTCCAGTTCCACTTCACAGAATATTAAGTGCATCGTTCTGTATACATTATAGCCTTCACTAAGATATTTTTTTATTGCGAATAATTTCATTTTTTGGTACTAATATTTCTGTCATTAACTGAATTATATCTATCATTTTAATCACAACTTTGGTGGTGCCCTGATAATACAAATTTATAAAATAATTCTATTCACAATTTGCTTCCAGCAACAGGTGTGCCCTTTTGGCTTACTGGGTGAGCTTGTCGGAGATCATCCCTCTCAAAAGCAATTTCCATTGCGCTGTACTCTTTCATAAAATATTAAGAGTGTAATTCAAAGTTCCTGTAGCTTTCATATTTCGAGGCACTTGGAAAATGAAATAAAGTGAAAGTTATAAATAGGCTGAGAATATGTAAATGGAAATAAATATGTGTTCCTTTTTCTAGGGCGTATAACTCGAATGTTTGTTATCGAGAACTGTTCGTAACGAGCTTCTTAAAGAAGTTATCGGCAGGTAAATAATAGACAATACAAATTGTTGGTAAGTTAGAGAATTAACTAATGACACTACAGAGTGATAAGTAAAGTAAGTGTGTTCAAAAGACAGAGTTTTACTTTGCAATAATTCTATTTACTAAACAAATCAGAGGTTAGGGATAATCAATGCGGTTTAATTTACGACAATAACCACTAAATATTGCATAGAAGAGATATATATATATACGTGAAGAAGCAGCAATACTTTACGGTTTAGCTTACTTTAATTCATTAATATTTTTTTAGGTTCAGTACTATTTTAAAGAGGGAGCCTTTAGTGGCCCAGTCTAAATTTTTTTATTTTATGGTTTTTTATGTTCAATGGTATTTTAAAGAGCGAGCCTTTTGTGGAAACCCATTTATTTATTGGTGCACCTTGGCTCAGTCTCAATTTCTGTCAATAAAACTTATTGGTGATGCTGTCAATGAAAATTTACATAAGCTTAGCAAAACCTTAAAGTTGAATAAGAATGTTGAAACGAAATTTATTATTTTTGGTTCTAACAAGTGAAGTAATGAAGTTTTATTAGTAAAACAGTGAAAATACAATGAATTAGTGATAATAACATTAATATTTAGTAGATCCACCCTTCGATATAATAACGGTAGCAATTCTCTTAGGCATGCTGCGTACTAGATTTGCACATTCGTCCGCCCCTAAAGCTTACCACTCGATAATTAAGGTATTCTTTAAGGCACTTGTTGATGTTATGCTGTGTTCCTTAATCCTTTTAAAACAGCCCACATGTATTCAATGGGATTAAGATCTGGAGACTTGCAGGTCAATCTAAGAAAACAATGTTGTTATCTCTAAACCAACGCATCGTAGTCTCTGATTTGTGACAAGGAGCATTGTCTTGCTGATATTGAACCCCGTGTAAATTAGTATAGTCGAAAATGCACGTTAACGAAGGCAGAAGAACAACTTCTAATACATTTATGTACTTTTGACTGTCCATGCGACCTTCGCAAACGAACATTTCGCCGACACCATCAGCAGCCAAGCAGCCCCAGATCATAATGCTGCCTCTTCCATGCTTAACAGTGGATTCCCCGCAATCTGGATGATATTCTTCCCCAACCCGTCGCCTCACGAGCGTCACACGGGGTGTTCCAAATATATATGGAGAAAAGAAAAAATAATATTTTCATAAGACTTATATTGTATTATGTCCTCAAAATTGCTCGAGAGTAAGAAGCTATGGCTGTTAATACTTTAAGATGATCTTAACTAAGGTTACTTCGAAGTTTGTGTCATCAGACCACAAAACATACGACCAATCTTTTTTCGTGAAATGTTGGCATCGGTGAGCCCATTCCAAATGATTTTTCCTATTTCTTTCCAAGCCACGGCTTTTCTCGGGCTTTACACCCTTTTAAACCTGCTTCCAGAAGTCTTCTTCTAGCTGTTCGAGCACTAACTGGTTTACTAAATTCATCCGAAAGGGCAGCTGTAAGGGCAGAAGATTTTTTGCGATTCATGAGAGACTCGCGAACAAGTATTCGGTCTTCTCGTTTACTGGTAAGACGCTTTCTTCCACTTTTTGATTTATTATTGTGGGATTTCGTCTCCACCGATCGCCTGATAGCACATTTGACCACGCACCGCGAACATCCTACCAAATTGGCAATCTTAACCCTGAGACCTACTTAGAACTTGAATTTTAACTCTATCATCGTAGCTAATTTCTTTTTTTTAGATATTTTGGTATATATGAACTGTTTTTATAAGATTGGTAACTGTTCACTAAATGCAATTTAAACTTTCACTTTTAAATTTTGAATGCGAAAATATTTTATGAATTTCCTAAAGATGTCAATCTTTTGATTTAGCTTACTCAGAGTGATATGATTTTTTGTACTATTACACAATTTATTCGTTTAATCAACAGTTAAGCACCCATTTAAGACATTTACAAAAAGAAGTGGGAACTTGGATAGCCACATTTAAGAATACTTGTATTTTAGTGGGGTGCCTAATACTTTTGGCTGTATATACTTTCAACTGGTAGGGCACAAAAAGTTGTGTGGCTTTCTATGGCTTTAATGGCAATTTAAAGTGTAGATGGTTAGCTTACCGTTACCTCACAAAAAATAGTCCAACGGAGTCAAATCGCAGCTAATAAGGCCTGCTAATATCAGTTGACAATTTTATTGCAGTTGCGGTATAAAAGTTCCCATTTTAGAAAATTAGTTTTCGATTCTTTTTTTTCGAGCATAACGTAACCATTTTGAATATTTGAAACTGTAAATAATGAATATTTGTAAGTATTTTTCTGGTTCACGAACTAATATATTTACTTAAACTCACCTTTTTACCTCATGGTACAATTATAAAATGTAAACATCGGGAGTACAAAACCTTTCACAACCATTTCACCGTTCGTCCTGAGTTTTATATTGCAAAAGAATTTAAAAATTAGCGTTAGTGGCAAATAATACAAACAATATAACAATATAACAATATTAGCTACATTCGTTGAGAGTTATCAGTAAAAATTAGACAATAGCAATAAGATGTCTTACTCCCCAAAGAAAAAAAATTTCTGAGTTTTCACCGAATAGGATTCAGTAAAAATTAGCCAGTAAGTTACACTTAAGAAACGGCTGAGTTAACGCGTGACCACGAACCAACACCAACGTCTTTCATTGAACTTAGTTATAGTGAAAATACAAATAATATCAATAAAATTGTTTCTAGTAAAGTAGTAGTAGAAATTAAAAGTACCAAGAATAACCACATTTGTAAATTTTTAAATTTTGTTCAATTATAAAAAGTAATGAGCAGTTATAACTAAGTTGCAAATATATATATCGGTACCTGATCCACTTCTTGGAAGGAAATAATGTACCAAATAATGTCAACTAAAGTGAAAAATAAGTGCGTTCTTTTCTTTCAAATAAGTTGGTCCCCAGTCAACTTCCCGCGAAAGGAGTTATTTAACACCATCCGCAAATCTACCTGAACGCACAAAAAAAAACTCGCTAAATTCGGTTCAATCGTCTAGAATGCCGCGCATAAAAGATTTTTAGTTACAACCAGCTATGCCCTGCAACGCTTCGCTGTCGCAGAAACTCATTGAATGTATGAAAATTTAATCATTGGATAACTTTATTTATTCAATCCTTATGGTAATACAACATTTTTGGTTTAACCATTGACACCTATGAACCGAATATAAGATACCTTCAACGGTTCACACAGTTTATTCGAATAAGTCAGTTCTTAGCCCACTTCCCGGAGATAAGAATTGTCTTCCTTTTATTTATGCTATGTACCGCCTTTCAAGCAAAACAAAGCATAAATAAAAATTTTTAAATATCATCGCAAACACATACAAATACTACCACATTTTCAGCCATAAAGTATAAGTATGTATATTCATAATTCGTAATTGTATAATTGGGACACATCGTTATATATATTTATGTGTACATATTTATTTAAAAAGTATTCAAAAGTTTTACAGTCCTTATATCCAAATATTGAAAACATATTTTCTTTGGACAAAATAATGGTACTTACGTATTGATACCCCCACAGCTACATAACTCGGTACTTTTTTTCTAAAAAAAAAAATTATACCCTTCTTAGAAAACTAGAAGGAATCCTGCAAGGCTCACCTGTGTTGGTTCGGTCAGTATCAAGGTGGCCAAAGCCAACTAAATGTAAAAAGAGTTTTACAATAAGAATATTTTGCGGTGGCGTAAATACGTAAGTACACACAATAGCACAATTGCATCTATTTTCAAAAACACTTTTTACATTTGCGTACAATGTTAACAATTTTCACAAAGTTGATATTCTGCTATTGCTGTATTAAAATCTCCATCGTCCCGGTACACCGTCTGTAGTGAAACTTCATTAGGCCCTAGCTTTCTGGTGTTTGGTGAAGCAAGCGGGTACCTTCCTGCATTTATATTATGTATATACAATATATGAAATAATAAAAGAAAGGAAAAATAAATACTTAAATAAAAAATTTACAAAACAATTGTGCACTTACATCACAGGTAATGTTTTGTTCCTGCCATCAATTTTAAAGCACATGCATTTAGGTATTTTGATATATTGTTCGAAGAACCTAAACGTAACTAGAAAAGAAAAATGTGTTTAAATTGAATTGGAACATTTAGAACATTAAATTTGCATCACGTGAAACATTACCATACCCATATCCATATGGACTCATTTGTATGCAATGTGCCAACATGAAAATAAATTAATTGCACACTTACTTACTCTGTCGTTATTGTTGTTTTTGAGGCGTCTTATTCTCTTCCTAAAATGGATATTCCTCAAGAACGTACATATATTTATAAATATTAAACCATTAAATTGAATTGTATGAAAACAAATCCAATGCACTTTTTGATTACCAAAATTCTCCTGCTGACGAGTGATGATCGATTATTGATATTATGTGGTTGATATTTCAAAGCTGGTGACTATGTTTGAATTATTGCGAAAATATGTTAAAATGAAAAAAGATTGGTAATCAAAACTTGAGTTTTTATAAAATTTGAACTCTTATATATGCGTGTAGCCAACATCAGCGTTTTATGAATTTGGTTGTAGAAAATAAATGGTTGCATCATCTTTCTCATAGAAATACTGATACTCTGCAATTTTAGTTACAATATTAAAACAAAATTACGATCAAACACGTACGTAAGTTACATATAACTCAATTGCCTGTTATTCAAAACATTGAAAAAGAACATTAAAAAGATGAGAAATCGCTTGGTATACATGAGAAAGGGAAGCAACCTAGGATTTTATATAATGCCTAGTTTATTAAGATATGTATCGTTCTTTTTTATCGAAACATATCGATTAACTCGTTTATATATTTGAGAGTTGCATTCAATGAATACATAATTTCACAACCAAAAAGTTTTTTTCACGAACGTGTGTGGTAGCGTTCAGTGGCTAAACAAAATTTGATCAAGAGCTTTTTTGGAAGTAAACTGTGAGTAAGTTATATAGAAACTGTGTTGAAATGAGTATTAGAGAAGTCTGAGAAGACATATAAAAAGTTAGAGAGATATTTATTTCAGAAGGCTAGGAGGTATAAACTCAGATTTTGGCTCAACTGATCAAAATGCTGAAATGAGTATAGCTGATCAAAGTGATCAGAATGCTAAAACAAGCATGGCTTCAACAAGTAGTGTTCAGTTGCTTTTAAATTTAGAAGGTACTGATTAAGAATCTAATAACATTGAATTCAAATATCAACAAAGACTTTCTTTTAAGGAAAAAATTACAGACTGGTATATGAAAAATAGACCGCCAAGAAAGGCATTTGAAGAATTGTTTTCCATTTTAAAAGAATAAGGTCTAGATGTATCGCGATGGGCGGAGACTCTTTTACCAAATATAAAGCAAAGATTAGATCTCTTGTACCTTTGAAATATTGTCACTTTGGTTTAGAAGCTCAGTTGATGAAGGTTTGAAACATTTTAGGGGATATTGATAAAATTTTCGTAGACATCAAGATTGATGGCTTACCATTATTTCGCAACTCTCGTGTCCAATTGTGGCCAATATTGGCAAGAGTTTTAGTTGTTTCAGATGTATCTGTTTTCCCTATAGGAATAAAAAACCAAGTAATATTTCTGAATTTTTAAAAGAATAAATAATAAAATGAGATGCATAGTTTGTGATGCCCCTGCTAGAGCTTTTGTTTGCGGTACTCCAAGCCACGTATCTTCCCATCGTTGTTCCAAATGCACAAAAACTGGTAGAAAGTTTGATATCGTTTTAACGTATAGCTCAGAGCCAGGAGAGCTAATAACGGGTAATGATTTTGCAGATAGAAGGTTTCAAACACATCATATCCTATAATTTAGAAATGCTAAGTCTCCTTAAGAAGAAGTGTAGAAGTGAAAATGATTATCCAAATAGTCCATCTTCTAGACTTAAGAGTAATGCGAAATTTTTTGCTACGACTTTTGAAAGATAAAGTTAACTTAAGAATTGAAAATTCGAAAAGGGAAAGCATGTCAAAAGTATTGGAGTCATTTTCGCCATATAAGCCTAAAAAATTCCTAAGAAAGATATTTTGATGAAATTTTAAATTGGAAGGCAACAGAATTTCGGAAGGTCCTCCTCTACACTGGCATAGTATATTTGAAGGGAAATATCCATGAAGACCAATACTACGAATTTTTGCTGCTACATTGTGCCTGTAGAATGCTATTTTGTCCGAAAAATTTTCTGGAAAACTTAACAGTTGCAGGAGATATGCTATCTTTATTTGTCAGAAATTTTTCGGAAATTTTTGGAAATGGTAGTTTTACACATAATATATTGTACATTAACTATTAGACCTTACCGAAAATGTTAAAGCGATAAGGCCCTTATCAAGTTTTTCTGCTTAAGATTTTAAAAACTATTTACAAATTTTGAAAAAGTATTTGAAAAAGCCGGCGCATATACTTCCTCAAATTTGTATTAGAGTATGCCAAGGGGATTTAAGGTTAAAAAGCAAGCCAGAAGGATTCAATATATTAAAGGGTAAGGGGTTATGCTTCTCCTTTAGAGAATGCGTTTTCTCGTCGCAAAAACCAAACAACTAATGCCTTATATAACCTTATATACCTATTCAAATTTAAGGATTTTCTGAAGATAGAAAGTCTATAGTAGGATGTCTTTAGGAATATGTTTAGTGGACTCCATGCCAACTGTTGAAGAACTTTTTTCTATAGATGACATAGATTGCAAAAGGATGGGTCTTCCACATGATAATAATATTCTCTTGCTACCATTGCTGCATGGTAGACCGGAGCGAAAAATAAAAAAGTTTCCGAATCAAATCTTAATAGTGCGGAAAAGTTGCTATTTGTTAATATTCAGAGAAAGAAGAATTTTTGAAATCGGACAATGTCATCCGCTCGCGCATCTCATTTAAAGTTTACTAAATTAAAGAAAAATTGAATAGATTCACGAAATATTATCATTGACACTTCGTAAATGATGTCTGATCGTTTTATATGACATGTAGTAATCTACGGGAAAAAAAGTACACGGCACGAGAGCTATCTCTATACGGTCTATGAATATTCTGTCTGCTCTCTGACGTTGATCTATCTGATAAGTTTCAATTCGATCTCATTTTGTGTCTCGTAGTTCACGTATTAACTTGTGAATAGTTGAAAACTGTCTCTTACGCGAAAGAATATACACTACCCATTTTTTGGTGCACCAAAAAAAATTGCTGACAAATGTTCTACCCACTAAAGCCGACATTGCTAAATGTTGGCACGAAGTGAGGTACAATATGACAGGAGAATCTACTGCTGCCATTTCTGGTCAAAAATTGAGCTTCACAGCCGTTGCAAATTGAGGCCCTCTAATCCAAAGCTTCGATTCCAGATGTTTCTCACACAAGTGTCGTTCAAAAGATCAAACAGTTGCATAATAAATAATAAGCACTTCGGAAATCTTATCCAAGTGAAAAAAACAAGATTGGGAAACAAAATAAGTAAATTGATTTTATGAGCAATGTACAAACTACAATAATTATTTGACATATCATCCTGCAAATGTGGGATCACACTGCACTGTTCTTGTGAAAAAACCTTTGACAAATGCATATGTCTCAGTCCGGTAATTGTCAACTGCACTTGTCCTAAAGGCAGAAAGATACTTCCGTTAGAAATAAAATTTCTTTATGCTCAAAAACAACTTAGACGAGGTAAGGTTGCGGGCAGTTGATGAAATGAAAAGTCAGAAGCTTACACTAAGGTTACAAAGAAAGGCTCGTCAGATAAATCAAACCAGCCTACCTGGACCCTCTTTTAGTAACATTGACTCTAAAGCAGAGACTTCCTTTGATGTTAATGATGATAAGGATGATTCTGACTTTTAGTCCCCACGCCCGTTGTCATCTCAATCAGATTGCTCAAAAATTTCACAGATGTGGTTATCACTTCCAGCAACTGCTTTGACAAGTGATCACTTTGGTGTGTCTGACAGAGCCACAGCTGCTATTACTTCTAGCGTACTTAAAGATTTGGGTCTTATTACCAACAGTAAAAAATCCCATATCGTTGATAGGAGCAAAATTAGAAGAGAGTAAGAAAAAGTTAGACTGAAACAACATCAGGGAAGGTAATGGGTCAAAAGGACGGTCCGAAGTGCATGCACTTTGATGGCAGGATGGACGATAAGTTGGTCTTGATTGAAAACGGATGTAAACGATACCAAACTGTACACAAAAAGTAGAAAATACTCAGCATTTTGCATTGAAGACTACTTTGACGAAAGTGGAATAGATTCATCCAACATTGTAGTGGTTGGATCTGATGGCACTTCAGCAAACACAGGATGGAAAAACTGGGCAATTAAATGTAGTGAAATGCGTTTAAAAAGACCAGTGCAGTGGGCTATCAGTCTCCTTCATTTTAATGAGTTACCTTTGAGGCATTGTGTCGAACCACTTGATGGAAAAACCTGTGGGCCTAAGTCCTCTCGGGAAACAAATGGCACAGTGCGAATCTGTGCCTGTCATTGTTTTTCAGAGAATTGAGTGCTTTCTTCCACAAATAGTTGACAATATAAACCTAAGCAAAGATCAAAGATACTTACATGACATTGCTACCGCCATTGATACTGGATCTTGTTCGCCAGACCTAGCAAATCGAGATGCGGGACCAATATCACACTCTCGATGGTTGACAACTGCGAACAGGTTTCTCTACGTAAAAACTTTTATTAACCAAAGTATAAATACCTTTACATACATATGTATACACACATATCGAGAATTTTTTGTTTAACATAGGTTAAATATATTTTAATTTTTAATACAAGAATTAGATTAATGTTTTTGTTTTAGGATTATCATTGTGAAATATGTTTAATTTTTAAATGAAAACTGAAAACAAAAGAAAATTTATTTTGAAATAAATTCAAATAAACAAATAAATTAAATGAAATGAATAATACAATCTTTCTCCTTGACTTTTGGCTTAGGATAGGTGAGTATTTCGTAGGTAAACTGGATATGTACGAACTGGGTTTTAACTGATATAATGCAGACTGGTCTGAGGCAAACAAGTTCTCAACTGGTGTGAACGAACTATTATTTTAACTGGTATATATGAACTGGTATTTAACTAGTAGGAAGCTGATACATAGTAGGAAAATTGTCAGCTTGTAGGTCGTCGACGTGTTAAATATACCAGTTGCTTACATGGAAAATGGATGAAGATGAACTAGTTGATGTTAAAATGTAAACTAGTTAAATTTTAGTTAACAACTAGAATTTTCCCCTGCAGGGTATATGAGTATATGTACATACATATATATGTGATGATATAAGTGAAATATGTGTTCTTTATCAAGTACAGTCCTCAAACTGTATGACGCATAAGGCACCGTTACTCTCGGTAAGAATAATGTGCCGTTAGCCCCGTGACTACAGCTGTTGCTCAAATGTAAAGAAATCTAATAAGAATATTTGAAAGTAGAAGAAGATGAGAACGAAAACACAAATTTAAGCAAAGAAGTTAAAAATAACTTGTGTTTTAAAGTTGCTAACTTTTGTGGGTCAGGTTAAGCCCTATTTAAGTGAAATACATGGATACGAGCTAGAGACGCCAGTACGGAATTAATACCACAAGAGAAAACATAGTTCGCGAGTAGAAATGAATATTCGTTTTTTGGATGATGTCCCTGTATGTACCATCTGGATATACGCCCAACGCTAATAGGATTGTAGCAAATAACCA